GGCTGAATCAGGACGCCTGGGGCAGAGCAGCTGAGGGGGCTGCTGGGTTGGTCCCACAGCGCCGAGGAGCGGCGCTACTGGATCAACCTGGCAGCACCCCAGCTGCTCTACCCCAGGTGTCCCCAAGTCAGCTGCTGCTGAAACTGATCAGGGGCTGACTTCAGGAAGCCCGGGGCAGAGCACTACCTCGGGCTTCCTAGAGTCAGCCGAAGGTCAGTTTTAGCAGCGGCAGAATAAGGGAAGCTGGGGGCAGAGCAGCTCCAATGGTCCGGCTGCCTGGAGCACTTCTGGGTTCCTGATGGTGCCGGACCATCAGGAGTGCCAAATCATCAGATGCTGGACCATCGGAGTTTTACTGTAACTAGTGGTGTCCCCAAGAGTCTGTACTGGGACCAATCCTATTTAATCTATTTATAATGTTCTGGAGAAAGGGTAAACAGTGAGGTGGCAAAATTTGCAGATACTAAACTGCTCAAGATAGTTAAGACCAAAGCAGACTGTGAAGAATTTCAAGAAGATCTCACAAAACTAAGTGATTAGGCAACAAAATAGGAAATGAAATTAATGTTGATAAAATGCAAAGTAATGCATAATTTAGCTACAACTACTCGAGAGAGAACATGGAATCATTGTAGATTCATGGTTACCAACCTGTCGATCGCAATCAACTGGTTGATTCTGGGAGCTCGACCAGTTGATCACGAGGCTTTCAAGGGGGCCCTCCTGGTGGTCCCCCAACCCCAAGATTAACGCTGTGCTGACACTACCTCCAGGGACAATGGAGGTAGCGTGCGCTTCCTGCAGCGTGGGGGGTAGTTCTGCAGCTGCACGCCAGGTCTCGGAAGTGCGCAGTGTGATGGAGAGAAGGAGAACAGGGAGGGCAGGGCCTCAAGGAAGGGGTGGAGTAGATCTTGGCTTGTGCTGACATTTAAGAAGTGATCTTGGGTGTAAAAAGGTTGGAGATCGTTGTTGTAGATAGTTCTCTGAAAACATCCACTCAATGTGTAGCAGCAGTCAAAAAAAACAAACAAAATGTTAGGAACTATTACAAAAGGATAGAGAATAAGATCGATGTAGTTGCCTCATCTCAAAAAAGATATATTGGCATTGGAAAAGGTTCAGAAGAGGGCAACAAAACGATTAGGTGTTTGGAATGGATATGAAGAGAGAGTAAAAAGACTGGGACCTTTCAGCTTAAAGAAGAGACTAAAGGGGGGGGGCAATATGATAGAGATCTATTTAATCGTGACTGGTGTGGAAAAAGTGAATAAGGAAAAGTTATTTACTTGTTCCCATAACATAAGAACTAGGGGGTCACCAAATGAAATTAATAGGTGGCAGGTTTAAAACAAACGAAAGTTTTTCTGCACACTGTCAAGCTGTGGAACTCCTGGCCAGAGGATGTTGCAAAGACCAGGCCTTTAACAGATTCAAAAAAGGATTAGATAAATTCATGGAGGTTAGGTCCGTCAGTGGCTATTATTCAGGTTGGTAGGAATGGTCCCTAGCCTCTGTCCGGGGCTGGAAATGGATGACGAGAGGGCTCATTTGATGATTGCCTGGTCTGTTCACTCCCTCTGGGGCATCTGGCATCGGCCACTGGATACTGGACTAGTGGACTGTTGGTCTGACCCAGTATGGCTGTTCTTAACATGCACTGGATTCTTTCCATGTAGCTCCCCAATATACTAGTATTCAGTTATTAAAAGGTAAATAACCTTGAAGTTCTATTTTGAGTTGCTTCAATTTAAAATCTTTTTGGGTTGTGTTAAATTGTCGGTGCTGAGTAATATAATACAATGTTTGCTTAGCTTTTTTTACACGTCCATATGCCATCATTGTATGGCATAATATTGTGTGTCTGATTCTTCCCAATATATTTTTCACTACTACTAACCCTGTGCCTTTCTATTATAACTGCTCTGTTGATTCTTTGTTGAAGGTCTCATGCATCGTTATAGGTATATCTCCATATAACAGTCTCATAGAGCTGGAAGGGACGTTCAGAGGTCATTGAGTCCAGTCCCCTGCCCACACAGCAGGACCAAGTACCATCTCTGACAGATTTGCCCCAGATCCCTAAGTAGCCCCCTCAAGGATTGAGCTCTCAACCCTGGGTTTAGCAGGCCAATGCGCAAACCACTGAGCTATCCATAACCCCAAACACAGAGCAGTTACTGAACTGGATTCTTAACTCATTGTGGAGAAATAGTTTGTGTAATTGTTTTATGCTATTGCAATTATATATTTGTTTCATAGTTTTCATCCCTTGTTGCTACGTGAAGGATCTATATAGAAAATAATGAAGCTGACTAGAAGCAGCCCTGTTCAAGTTCACAAAATTAAACAAGCTGCAAAAAATAGATGCACATATTTCCCTCTAATGGCTTTCAGTTACTGTGATCATTAGTGTTCCTTTTAAGAATAGAAGGCTGAAGTTCACTTAGTCCCCATGAGATAGGGATCTTTCAGTTTGACATAGTGGGAACAGAAGCAGAGTTTAAATTACCAGTCCTAGGCTACAGAATGACTCAGGATCACCACCAATCCATGCTCATTCTTCCAGTCATGCAGCATTCTGAGGAAATACCTGGTATTGTCAGTCTTCATGTTCCTAGGATCCTAAACTGTCTCTGTTCTGGTGTCCTGGGATTCAAATATAATACACCTCAGCTAAATAAAGCTCTCCCTTTGGTTTCCCACAGTGGCAACGAGCAATGACTGTGAGAAAAATCCTACAAGAAATCATAGAAAAGCACCCCAAGTTTCACAACATCAGCCCCCTGAAAACCAAGCATGTGGTACATTGGTGTCGATGCCATGGCTACACTCCGCCTGACCCTGAAGCTCTAAGGAACGAGGAAGATTCAATAGAAGATGTGCTGACGCAAATAGACAGTGAGCCAGGTGAGCACTTAAGATATTGCCTGTTACACAGCTCCCACTTTATTCTCCAGCATATTCTTGAAGCTATTTTCACTCCCTTGGAATTGCAGAAATTAGAGATCAGAACAGCCTCATAATACATCTGCCCTTTTCCTCCTACCAACCCAAATTGTTCCTTACTGATGGCTTTCAAGTGCTCTGTGCAGCTTAGCTGTTGACATTATAGTAGCATGGAAAGGCCCCAACAACGTCAAGATTCCCTGGGACTAGATACTGTTACCGACACAGGGTGAAAGACCGTCACTGCCTGGAGGAGTTTACGTCTGACGAATGGGTGGGGCAGTGCTGGGGCTTCCATCACTTTCCCATGGAGCTGAGCACATCTCGCTGTATGGAACCTTCTCCCTACAGCTGAGCAAAATTTTCCCTTTCTGAATTTCATCCCACTCT